AAAAAAAGGTTAACATGGCCATGCAGTGTATTCTTTTATTTTACACTCAATTTCCTGCATACACAATTATACACACAATTAGCATGGTATAGCATTTATCACAGCATTACTTAAAATACCACCCACCCCTAGCCATTAGTTAGTCTGTTATTCATAGTGTTTTCCCATTTTTCACCCAAGCAGCACGATAAAGCAGATGGAGTGTATGTTTAGGTTTGTTTAGACATTTTCTAATTTTTCATAAAAATGAGAGTTGTGGTTAAATCCGTAGCCAGATTGTCTGTTTTGTCACAGTAATTAGCCTACTCAGACAGCACGGTTTCTAATGTTTGTATGGGCAAATCATGAATTGTAGGCTGTCGTATGTGCTTCCAAACTCCTTAGTTCTAATATAGACAACATTCAGTCTTTTGTTTTATTTAACTGTCAGCAGGGTGGATGGTACTTAGAAATTGTGCTTTATAGTAGCCAATGTAAGTATAAGATCAGCACATTACATTTACATTACACTAAAAAAGTGAGAAGACACATTTTATACTTTATTGTAAAAGTTTGGCTCATGAATTTGAATACATTCACTCAGCTGTTCACTGGCTGGAAGGCAAATGAGATCTCCATTGCCAGATTTGCGTGTCTTGCACTGCAGAACTAGTTCAATAGCATGTGCAAGGGCACATATGTGACTGTTCCTGTGGTTTTTACAGGTTTTTAGATGGGAAGTTATTAGACATCAATAAGGAGTTCCAGCCCTATCTAGGTCGCGGAGGACGCATTCTGGAGATCCGCACGCCGGATGTGGTGGAGAGCGTGAAGAAGGCGGTTCAGTCTGTCGGATACACTGAAGGAGCCCTGCTGGCGCTGGCCGTCATCATCATCATGTGTTGTATCCCAGCCATCCTCATCGTCATCATCACCTACCGGCAGTGAGTGTCGCCACCATAGTCTAGTGTAGCCTAAAATTTTAATATTAATATTTAGTAGAGGTGTGTGATATTGACAAAAACTATATCTCAAATTTTTCCGATAACAATAATTAGCTGATTGTGTTTTTGTGCTGGTACCTTGGCTGGTTTAGGCCTGTCATGAATAAATAAATAAATATAACACTAAAATCGCCAGTGGGTAGTGGCAACAGGGGCTCTTAATGAATCACTGACTCAAATGACTCATTCCAAAACAGATTAATTCAGGAATGAAAAATCGCCATGTTTATTATTATGTAAGAAAAAAAAAACAGACATAATTGCGCCTGAAATGTAACTCAGTATTAGCTTCTTGTTTGTTGAACTGTTGTATAGAATCAATACAACATTCGTGATCGGGAAGATGGCACTCTTGCTTGTGTGATATTGCCTATTTAACAATATCATATAAATTTTTTATTTATTTATTTTTTTGCTACATACTCAATATTGTCAGCTAGCATATTGTTAAAACAACAGTTATTATATGTTCATAGACGATAAATATCGCACACCCCTAATATTTAGTGAAATTAGCCATTAACCAATTCTTCTGTTGTGATTCTTTGCATATTTTTCCAGTTAGTTTTTAATAGAAATGTTATGTCACAATGTTGCTTTTATGCCCTGTGTGGGAATGAGGTTGAAGTGGGAAGACAATATATTAAATATACCAAATAAATAAATGTAAAGTTCATTAAGTTTGAAACATCCTGTTAAGCAGGCAGCTTCCATCCGCTGGGACTTCAGAAGAACATATGCACTCTTTCTTTTCACAGTGGTAACACCTTTGAGAACTGTCTGGTCTTGTGTTTATTCCGTATGAAAGAAGATTAATCAAGGCCATGAGAAGTAAATATAAGAAGCTGTTTGTGGTTAAGGGCTGAGTTTTGTGTGTTGCCAGCTGACCCAGTGCCATATGGCAAACCTAATGTTGAGAACTGAGGAATAAAATGACATGATCAGTGCTAGAGATATGAGAATAATTCAGGAATTATTGAGGGTTTAGTTTGGCATGGATATAATTCATACTTGTGGGGAGAAGATAACAGATTTTTTAATTTTTTGGCTGAAATCCAATATATATTTTTGCAATATACATGTTTTTTTTTTTGCATTACTGATTCTTACTGCTGTGCAGTAAATCCATGTTGTTATGAGTCATTGTCTAATATGTTTTTTCTTTTCTTTTTACAATGCACCAACTTCAGATTCAAAGAGTAAGTATCGTATTGAGACATGCATGTGTAATGATATATTGGTTATATATCTCAACCATTTCCCTCTCTCGAGCATTATTTAATTCAGTGGTTCTCAAATGGTTTGGCTTAAAGTCCCAGATTTTACATTGGATATCAAATAGCAACTCAACACTACCTGAATAGTTTGTTGTACAAAAGTCAATGATACAGCAATGTAAATCAGCAATAGTGGAATATATTAATATATATATATATATATATATAAACCTCAACAGACTTATTTTTATATCAGTTTGAGTGTTTGGTTTCTAAATGTCTCTTGAATTTTTATGTTTATGCTCTCAACAGCCAATAATTCACTGCACAAAATACATTGACGGCACTAATGATGTCTTTCCTCTTTGGTAGCATCTTCTTGTATTTTGCATAATTTTGTTTCTTTACGTGTCCATGTTGCCCAAAATATGACTAGCTTCTATAAATTTGAGTTGAAGTACCATTTGATTTAAAATGTGACCATTGGCATCCAAAAAAAAAAGAAAAAAAGTGAGAAGCTTGTCTCCCCCTTTTAGAAATGCCTCTTTACTGTGCACTCCTAACTATGAAAGATTACATGGTTAGTTGCAATGTATTATTATTCCATTTTATGCATACCATTTTTTTTCTCTTGCTGTCGGCGACCCACCAGTTGAGAACCACTGATCTAATTTGTTGTGTCTGAGAAACTCCAAAAAAGCTAAATGTCCAGGGAAAGATAAAGGCTTGTTGATTTCCCAGGACCAGAACAGAAGTGCTTAGAACACAACTTATGTAAAAAAAAACATAGCTTTTGTTCCCTAAGCTGTCAGATCCCCCAAGGATATAAAGCTGATTCCAACATCCTTGTAAAATTGCACTTTGAAAAAAAAGATCAAAACCGAATTATTCAAAAACATTAGAAGTGTTCTTTAAGGACAGCATGCTATGAAATTGCAAACTCAAACCACTTCACAGGCACTCATAACATAAACATAACCATCAAACTCTCAAATATTACCTTTGAATGCAATAAATAAAAAAATAAATATATGCAATAAAGCAAATTATATGCTTTCAAAAATTTGTTTCTGTAAACATATTGTTTTTGATATGTGAGTGCATGTATAATTTATGAATCTTTTATAATACAAGATATTGCTTTTATTTTGCTCCACTTGTTGACTTCATCATCTGAAGACGACAGGCAGAGGGTGCAAAAACAGCCAGGATTCAAATGGCACTTCCCACTGGCAAATCCGGAGGCGCTGCCACCAACAATCTGTATGAAGAACTCGGCGACAGCACCATGTAAGTTTTATACCTTCTGCACTTTATACTGTACTTGTCAATGTCTTAAAACACTGGCTGATTCAGAATATTAATATGTAATGGTTTTAACAGGATATATTTACTTGAAGTAAAATTGCACAAGTCTATAGTTCTAACCAAATTGGCATTTTTATTTCTTGTTTAAATAATAAATCTAACAAAATGTAGTTGTATGATTGGAGCAAGAAGTGTGTGGAAAATTCATTTGAGTAAATGAAAATTCTAGTTAACTTATTAAGATGCTAATTTGAATTGTGCAGAATTTTTGCAGTATTTCTCTTATATGATTTACAGATACGATTTAATGTAACCTCTTTTTATTGCTTAGCAAAGCTAGGGCTTCTATTCATGTTGTTAAAATTCCACCCAGTGGCAATATCCCTTTTTTGTGATGGTCATTTCCATTTATTCTTTTACCTGTGCCAGGATTTCTAACACATTAGGGGTAATGCAAAATTGCAGGCCTTCAATAAAAAGATTTCATGTCTGAACCCAGGTTGAGGTGATCACCAAACTCTTGTATTACCTTCAGGGTGTGGTCCCAACATCACAAGCTTTGAAAGTAAAAAGCAATACACAGCTTCCCGTCCTGTTCCGTGTCTTCATGGTTATCATTTCATAGCATGTTACAGGAAGGTTTTTGTGGAATATCAAAGACCACATTTATCAGGAATGGTCTAAAGATAATCTAACCCAAATTTGAGGAAGACTGGACTCATTTATTTTAGAAGTTGCAGGTACCCCTAAGGCATATAGTAGGCATGACAATTAACAAGTTTGTTTAAATTTAAATCAGAGCAGTGAAGATACCATCTGAAATCCTATGTGGCTTTTTCATTGCCATATTCATAGTGTTGCATCCTGAAGGTTTCGGTTTATCAAAAAGTGTTTTGTTGTTGCTGTTTTCTTTGGAAAACTGTTCAGTAACTCTTGACCCCAAAACTGTCAAGACAATTTATCTTCTATGAGTAATTTCATAACTTTTTACCATACAATTCTAGGACCTTCCATATACCCCCAGTGGGGAGGAATGATAAGTAGAAAACCAACTGATATACTGTAATAAATTCCTAGACAGCTTTGGTGCACAGCCCCAAATTTAGTATTATGTGAACATTTTCTACCCTCTTCCTGACCCTTAAAATTAAACTGGCTTATTGTCTACTGCAACCTTTATCTGACCACGATGATTGAAAACTTTTTTTTGTCATAACATAATAGTGTCTGTCCTACTTATATTGTCCTAATCATGACTGAACTGGTTTTCAGCATTAAAGTTTAAATGTGGACAGTAATGTGGAGAGTTTTATTGTGCTAACTGATGTGATGTCACATTTTAATTAAAACGATCAAGTAAAGTTTGTCATTATTAGACCCCTTAGACTAATTTCTCTGTAATGATTGTCTAATGTTAGGCAGGTTTCCATTTTTTAAAGGTGTAACCTTTATTACACTTATCTGCATTTTAACATCTTGCTAATTTCACTCATATAATGTATTTTCCTCCTGTCTCTCTTTCTCATTTCTTGGATATCAGATCCAAGTAAGTAGGGAGTCATCTGTGTTTCATCTATAGTAGTCAACTACCCAAGTAGTTGCAAGTAGACATTATACTGTAAGTAAGGTATAGCTGCATTTGTGATAGTTTATCAAAGATGTTGAATATCCTTTGCTTCCAATTGCCTAGCACTGTTATCAGCTGCCTTTCTCTTGATCAGTATTGATATTAGCTTGGCACTGTGTTAGCGCTGTTCTGTGAAAACTTGTTTTGGGTGTTTGCCTAGGATTTGTTCAGCATTTTGTTCTTAGTACTAAAGTCAATCCAAGCAAGTGCTTTTTGTAGCTGGCTTCCCTCCTAATTCCCCGTCTATCTTGCTGTTCATGTCCTCTTTTAAGTCGATCTTTGTCTCTTTTTGCGGTTATGCTGAAAGCAGGACTAAGAGGTGTGTTCTGAAGGACAGCGATCGGCAGCATCTCATTAGCTCATTTGCCTCCCATGCCATCACTGCTCACAAGCTGTCCACCGCTAATGGAGTCCTGCTTAACAACTTGCCTAAGTCAGAAAGCAACATTACCTTCCTTTCTGACGAGAACCCTCTTACTACAACCAACCCCCTGTACCATGATGACGGCACCCTCAGCAGCCCTGAGCACCAAAATCAGAGGTACCACCTGGGCATGTATTCACCCAACATGAGAGGTCTGAGAAAGTCCATCCTGCGCTTCCCATCTACAGGCTCAGGACATGCCTGGACTTTACCTTCTAGGTTGCACAAGTGTGAGACCAATGAAGCCCTACTGAGTAGAACTGTGGCAATGGATCCAGTTCAGTGGGAGCTGCAACTGCTGAAGTCCGACCTTAAGGACAGTAAGGAGATGATTGATGGGTTTGATGGGCTTGTAGACGAAGATACAGAGCCCAAAATGACAGTAAAAGAGCAGGCACGGCAGTTTGAGCAGCAGGCCTTTCAGGACATAAGGCAGAGGCAAGGCCAGGATTCTCGTGGGTCACTCTCTTCCGAAGTTATTCTCTCTGTTTTTGAGACCCTGCAGTCTTCAGTCATGGGACATAACAGCAGGCCCCCAGCAATAATCATTACCCAGAGTGACGGAACGCCTCCGCCTAGTCACAAACCCACTCCACCAGTGCTACGGAAGTTCAGCAGAATAACTACCTATCCCGATGTGGAGTCTTACGAGGTCAACGTGGAGATCATCCCAGACCCACCAGATGTACCTGCTCCACAACCCCCACCACCTCCCCCTCCCTCCAGTC